TTTAGGTCATATTTATGCAGAAATATTGAAAATTCAAAAGGGTTCACAAACTTTTAAGCACTGCTGGACATCAATCCTTCTTGAATTTGGCTTATCTCTTTTTATAGCAGTTAAAATTATTACACCTGGTAGTAGTGAATTCCACATTTTTTCTATGTGCTTTGAAGACAGTCTTGAGAATATGAGATGTGGAAATGCTAATTCTTACATATTGCATAATAGGTTGAAGGCTAGTGATTAAGTTAACTTTACTAAAAGCTAAGCTTTCTAATTCACGTCAGTGAGCTGCTCCATAATTCTCCTTATTACTCAAAGGGCTATGCCCTGTTATTAAAACGAATTTTCAAGACAGCTCTACGTATAGATGGATTTAAAGACTATGGAGTATAATAGATGTATTTGACTTCAGTATAATGTTCTCCTTTTGCTAGTATTAAAAGAGACAGTGCATGAATTTTGCTTTTTGTTTTGTTTGGAAGGAAGTAATAAGTTTATTAGTTTTATTGATAAAATGTTCGTTCTTAATTAGGTACTGAGGCAATATTTCTACAATCCATTTAGGATTAGTTCTTCTAGCTTTGTGTTTTATATTTGTTATATTATTTTTTCTTACAACTAAAACAGTATAAGACTTTTATAATTTTCTCATAAGATTCTTATGTGAAATAATTTTCCCTTTGTTATAGAATTTGTTTTTATTTTAGAAATTTATAAGGTCACCCAAATTCACAAAGACAGGTTTAATACTTCAGTTCAACTCTCACTTCTTTGGAACTAAGTCTCATTGGATCTACTAAATATGAGAAAGATTGCATTCCAGTATTGGGATTCTGAGAGTAAAATCGTCTAAAGCCTCAAATAAATATATTTAGAATTAATATGTGACAATATTCAAATACATGTGATTTATCCTACAATATTTTGTTTAGTAATTTCAAAACAGGCAGCAGCGTACATTCTTCTGTGTATACTTTACATGAACAAAAGTATAACATAATCAGACAAAAGTGATATGTGATTGGTAAAATAATATAATAGGATCTGTCTTTCCTTAAAGGAGGTTTTGAAAGAGTTAGTAGACCATTTGGATAAAGCAACAAAGGGGATAGTAAGACTTGAGGACATAAATGCACTAAGGCATTGGTGACTGAATGTATTGAAAGAATATAAAGGAATCTTATTCAATCAGAATTTCATATTGTCAAACTTGTTACAGCATTTCATAATTCAGAAGTTTAAGGCATAATCTATTGGAACTAGATGAATAATAAAACAAGATGAATTGAAGTAAAAATGAAAAATATGTTTAACCTTTATTACTTTCCATTTAGAATATAAGATGTCCACTGAAGGGCAGAGAGTTGATGATAGTCCAAGCACCAGTGGAGGCAGCTCTGATGGAGATCAGCGAGAAAGTATTCAACAAGATCAAGAAAGAGAACAAATTCAACCCAAGAAAAAGGAGGGCAAAATATCTAGCAAAACAGCAGCTAAACTTTCAACCAGTGCTAAAAGGTACTTGCTCTTTCCGTTAATTTTCAATATTTTTTTTAATAGCTATAATTGGTAGTCTTACCATATTTATAGTGCTAACTGGTTGATTGACAACTGATTATGTAGAACATGCAATAACGGTATCTTGTTTAATAAATATACTGACCTCACAGTTATTAAAATTGGGCCATATTTATATGTTTAATGTATGTATGTGAGTAAGAGACAGACTAATATTCATATTTGTCAGTGTGGCTTATAGTTAATTAGTCGTAAGTATTTCAGACACTTCAGTAATTTAGCATGATAGAAGCATGTAGTAGAAGCAATTTTATTGCTGTAAAATTCAATGTTTTTTTTTTCCTTCAGTTGGTTAGATAAGATGTCAGTGTGACTTAATTTGATAGTGTTGAATGGCACAATGTCTTAGCACTTTCGGCTTTCTCTGCCCCTAAGAGGTAAGAGAAATTGGGAGAACACTTAGAGATTTTAGGCCATTGCATCAGTCATTTCAAAATAATGATTGCTCTTCTTAGATTTTGTACAGATGGACTTGCATTAATAGGTTTCCCCAAAGCACATGGCTCTACAAGCCTAAACAGGAACATTCAAAACCTATTAAAGTCAGAAAACTTCCTAGAATATAGTACTATATATGTTTTTTTGTGTAAAATTCAAGGCAATTGTTGCTTCACCATTACACTGTTATATCTAATCAGCAAATCTCTGACTGGTTAATGTGGAACTACCACAAATATAATTATTAAGTAGAGCTATTTTTTCTTGCCTTTCCAGTTCTTATGCATTATTGAATTACCTCATTGAGTTACCTCATGCTAACACCATTTTGACATGCCATAATTCCATTCCTCTCTGTTCAATTTACGTACTCCACTGTCTTTGTGAATCTATCATGAATAGGTTCTGTTAATTTGTTACAGTGTTGTTGAGATGATCTGCATATCCAAAATATTCCTTCAACATTTAACCATCTAGGAGAGCTTTTGAATGCAAAATATAAAAATGCAGAATATAATTTAGTAAACATTGGTCTTTTAACAAGTCCAAATTGCAATTCTTCTTGATTATTTCAGAGGTGTATCATCAACAGCTTCAACCACAATCCATGATTGTCAGGAAACTATCACTAGGAAGATAGAGTTAATTTTTTAAAAGGAAAATATAGCTTTAATTAATGGGAGAAAAAGACTTTCCTGGTATACTCCTGTTATTAACTGTAGAATTCACCTTATATACTAAACTAGAGGTTTCATTCCATGGACTACGAACAAGTGATATTTTGGAAAGATTTTGTAGGTAGTCCTGGTGGAGGCACCAAAGTATTAATGTTAATATAAAGCTAACATCCCATGAGATTACCATATTTTGCAAAATTTGGGCATTTTTACTCATTGTCTTGTGAGATTTTGGAGTTCTTGCCCAAAATCTCATGTTTCCAGTCTGAAACAATATCTCATGAGATTTGATGATTTTATAATATTATTTTTTATTTAATTTTCTAGTTCCCCAGACACCATGAGGGGACCGGGGTTTCATATGTGCTATGGTGGCAACAGAACTTGCTGACTCCCAGTTTATGTGAAGGTTCTCAAGAGGATCTAAACTATTTAGATGATGTAGTAATGACTTTAAAGAAAAAGGTTGGGAATATCTATGTTATACTGTTTTAGAGACTCAGTTTATATCTTTTATATTGGCTATATGACCTGTGACCACTAACTGCATAATTTATTCATTGAAAACTTTTATTATGCCTTTCAAACCATTTCCCTAAAGGGAAGCTTTATATTTAGAAGCATAGTCTAAATATAATTTTAAAGGGACTAAAAAGAATAGTATAAGTTATTGATAGAAATGTAAGACTAATTCCATCAGTAATTAAACATTAATTTTAAAACCAAGAACAATAAAAGTGACTCTGGTGGTAAGATAAAGGATGCCAGCAAATATTATTAGGGAATGCATTCCACAATTTGGGTGTTACTAATAAAAAGGCCTCTTTCTCCTTGCCACCTACCTCCGTTGGTGAGTTACCTGAAATAGTGCTTCTAAAGTCTTTGTTAACATAAAGGCAGCTGAGGTGGAGTTACATGATTTTAATTGTGTGTGACTTTAATCACTTACATATTGAATTGTGCACAAAAATGTCATCAAGAACCAATATAGCTATTTATTACTGATGAGACTTATTCTAAATTTTTTGTGTGTGCCCGCGAGTCAGTTTTTGACTCTTGGCAACTTTCTGGATAAGTCCCTCCAGTTTTCTTGGCATGGTTTTTTGGAAGTGGTTTGCCATTGCCTTCTTCCTAGGGCTAAGAGAGAATGACTGGCCCAAGGTCACCCACCTGCCTTTGTGCCTAAGGCAAGAGTAGAACTCACGGATTCTGGGTTTCTAACCTGATGCCTTAACCACAACATCAAACTGGCTCTCTCCTAATCCCAATTGGGCAGCTACGTTCTAGAATAATAAGGGTTGGAATGGGCCATATAAGCCATTAAGTTTAACCCTCTGTTCAGTGCAGAAATTCAAATTAAAACATCTCTTACAACTGTGTATATAACCTCTGCTTGAGGATGTCCAGCAAAATGTAGATAAGTAAGTCCTAGTTACCTAATTAGGAAATTACTTAATTTCATAGGTAACTAGTTCCACTATCAACAACGAATTATTGTTACTGTTTTTTTCCCCAAAGATTCAACTGCTTTCTTAAAACTAAGATAATTATTTCATGACCTATACGCTGTTAGAAAATGGGTCGTGGCTTTCTTCTATATAATAACTCTCTTTAGGAGTGTTCTCAAGGTCCCATTCAGTCTTTTCTTCTTAAGGCTCAATCCCATTTTTTTTTACTTTGTCCTCACTCATTTAGTTTCAATTCCCTGATCATCCTTGTTTCTCTTTTTTGCACCTGTTCCAATTCCACTGAAACAGTCTTTAAATGTGGTGCCCAGAGCTGGACACAATATTAGAGATGAAGTCTAGCCAGTGTTGAAAAGAATGAAATTATGGCTTCCCATGATTTGGAAACTGTATTTCTGTTGATGTAATCTAAGATTGTGGTTGCCTTTTTTGTAGCCAGATAATACTGCCAATTCATATTCAATTTCTGATTAACTATATAATGTCAATACTTTTTTCAAATGTATTCTTACTAATCCCTCTATCCTGTATCTGTGCTTTTCTTTGTATTTCATTCTGTTATTTTCAACCCATTTCTCTAATTTACCAGGATTATTTTGAATTTTATTTCTACTTTCTAGGGTATTAGCTGTATCATTCAGTTTTGCGTAATCTGCAAGTTTGATAAAAATTCCTTCCACATCTTCAAGTAAATAAGTAAAAAAAATACTGAATTACAGGATCCAAGATTGAATATGATGATGCTTTGACTAGAGTTGTTAAGTCAGTTGTCAATCCACCCTAAAAATATGCTATTCCATCTATACTCAACCAGCTTGCTAAGCATGAATATTACAGAGTCTTTGTCAAATGCTTTGCTGAAACAAAAATGGCTAACTGCAGTTTCTGTTGCAATCATGCGCACAGCACACATACAGTAACAGTAGACTAGGTAACAAAGCATAGATAACCTGAAAGAGCTATGTTATCACTGTACAGCTAGGTCTCGACTAGTGCGGACAATGAATCCCACAGTGTTTGTATTATTTGAATACACACTATTCAGTGTTATATTTCTCTGGAAAATATGGTAATTGGTTCCAGCTTGATGGAAATAGGCAATGAAAATTTTTAACCATAAATTTTATGTTTATTAATGAAATATTACAGTAAAGGATAAAAAGAATATATTTATAATTTAAATTTATTGTTAACAAATTCACAGAGTAATTATAGAAAGGGAAAAAAATATGCATATCATTCCTAAAGGTAACCTTACTTGATTTTTAAATCAATCAAACCAACTAACAGTTGCATTAAATGTTCCTTTTAATTCATTATTTTTTTTCTTTCATTCTTTTAAACAAATGTAAAGCTTTTGTCTGATTGGCTGCTCTGCTAAGGGTAATGCGTTTTTTATTGCAGTCCTCAATTCATACAGTTAAAAGATGCTCTGTTTCTATCATTGTAACACTTCTCCTCCTAATAGATACTTGCAAACCACAAAAAGCTGATGTAACTTTATCTTTTTCTTTTATTTCCCCTTTCCAATATATCATTCTATTTTAGAATTACTATTACAACGTTCATGTTGTTCAGTCACATCAAATTTTTGTTCTAATGTAGTAACAAACCTCTTCTTTTTTGAGCTTGTAGTGTTTTCATCTGAAGGAATCTCCCATTTGTCCATTTTGCACACACGAAGATAAACAATAGCAGCATCTAAAACCCCAACGGTAACCCAATAACCTCAACTGCAGATACACTAGCTTCAACTGCACAACTTGCATTAACTGAATTTTGGTTCACATTAAATATGCCCTGGTATCAATTTGCAATTCTCACTAAATCAAATATTGCATTATTTGAACTCACATTAATCACAGCCTATCTGTACAGAATGGGTACAGTTGGAATACATATCTCAAAAACACTTGTGCCTTCAGAGCTTGAGCTATCATCATTGAACATTCTCTATTTAGATCCAAGGCTATACTGACATATTTTGCTGTCTTTTTTGTTTGTAATTTTCCAAATGAGTGTATTTATTAATGAATAAAATGAGTTTTGTATACAAATGCATGTTTGCTGTTGAAATGAGTTGAAAAAAATTCTTAAAAATAGGTAATTAGATTTGAATCTGGTAGATGTTACATAATACTAACTTGCATATTTTAAATACAGATTAAGATGAAATTCATCTTTGGAAATAATGTTAGCAGAATGAAATTTAATCAGTATTTATACATTTTGATATATATGAGGGTTGAGTGAAAAGTGATGCCTCTACTTCCAGAACTTTAACTGAAATAGGAATGTTTTAATAAATGAAAGAAAAATAATCCTTGGAATGAATTCTTTTGTTAACTATGTAAAGAAGTAAATCACCAACATTTCCTACACAGTTCTGCCAATGATGGACAAGCTTCTTAAAGCTGTCATGAAATAACTCCATACATTGTTTCTTCAATTATGTCCTGACATTCCTTTTCACATGAGTCAAGCATGCTTGTAAAGGTATTCCTTCAATTTTAGGAAAAGGTGGAAGTCACATAGTAACAAGTCTGGACTATATGGTAGATGGGATTAGATCTAACTACTCAATTACCAGTGTTGCCAAGTTTCTTTCTTGTGCTTCCAAATTCTATTTAATTGTTGTTTCAAACATTTGAGTATTGCAGTGTTGCAACCTGAGTTGATAATTGTACCATGTTCAAGGAAATTCATGTGAATAACACTATCTGCATCACAAAAAGCTGTAATCATGAGTTTTCCTGTCAAAGCCTAGGTTTGGATTCTTTTTCTCTCACAGGTAGGTAAAGCTTTGTGATGATATTCCATGGGCCGAGGCTTTGTCTCTGGATTATAATGATGAGCCTATGTTTTGTCAGCTGTTACAGTGCTGTTAAAAAATCTTCACCTTCATTATGGTAGCATGACAACAGTTGCTGGCAAATTTTAACTCTTGAAGCTTTCATTTCTACCATCAACATGTGATGAATCCCATCTTGCATAAACTTTCCAATATTGAAGAACATCAGTAATGTGATCCACCTGTTCCTGTGAGATCCTGAGGTTGATAGCAGTTTCCCTTTCAGTGATCTGCCAATTGTTTTAATCAGCTCATTGATCTTTCCCATGTGAAGTTCATCAATTGCTATCATGGGTCATCCACTTCATTCTTGATTATACAAATCAGCTTTCCCAGTTTACCATTTTTACATTTTTTGGGCCAGGTACCACATAATACTCATTGTGGAGATAGTCATCTCCACAAACCTCCATTCAGCAATTAGAAGGATTCCTTCAGCAATCAAAAATTCAATCACAGCGCATTGCTTAAAGTGCACTGGCAAATACTCACTGCAAAATTGTATTTCATGAATAATAGTAAAGCAACATTTTCTTATAGCCAGTTCTCACAAACTAAAGTGAAAGAAGAGATGTTAAATACGTCGGAGCTTCCAGAACATCAGTACTTGCCATGTATTGGCAACTTATAACATTGGAGGCATTACTTTTCTTTAAACCTTGTAATAGTAAGATTTAAAATACCTAAAAAATTTATAATGTAGTAGTTGAAGATAGTTGTGATAGAAAGCCCAACAATTTATAGCAGTATAAGAGTCATTACCACATGATATGAATTGCATCTGGTTTTAATAAATTTAAGACTTGTCATACAGTTCTCTTTTTATTTCTTTCCTCATCCTTTTCCTTCTTTTTATTACTCTGCAAACCATTCCGGGGCCCTTTCTGGATGATAAGTAGGGTCAAGATTATTTAAATAAATAAGTAAACCTGTAGAGATCCAACATTGACATTTGGTGGTCTCACAATAGCAAAAGTTGCCAAGATTTTTTATGTTGAAGGGCATGATTTTTTTAAAATGTGCAAATACAGTCTCATATATATTTATATAATATATATTATCCATTTTAATATTTTAAAAGCATATATTTTCTATAGGAAAGCTGTATATTTGGAAAAAAATCCGTGCATATCCAGTTTGCATAACACCGTTACTCTCACAATGAAAATCTTATACAAACATATTTGCATGTAAACACCCTTAGATAGGGAATTGTATCTGATGAAATATACATAGATTTCATTTTTGATATTGTAGTCATGTACATGCTTTTTTTTAAAAGCATCCTACATAAAAGGATGGGTGCAGATGCTAGTCATGCTTATCCTGCTGGCTATGTGGGATGAAACAAATGCAGAGGGAGCAGACCACCTCATGAAACACTTTCAAATTGTTTGAGGAATATTAGAGTTACAGGGGACTTGGTTTAAGAAATTATGTTCTAGGAGATATCCATTACATCACTAGATTTTCATTAAGTAGAAATAACTGAACTTCAGTTCTAATTTTATGCAGCTACTTGAGCTTAAAAGTTTTTTATTCACTTATTTTCAAATTACAGGTAGTGCTCGAATTACAATGGCAATTGGGACCAGAATTTCCATTGCTAAGTGATGCGGTTGTAAAGCTCAACATCATGTGACTGCATGATGATAGCGACAGCAATCCCATTAACCAACCCCCATTGGTCGCTAACCGAGGACCCCCCCGATCCAAGCCATTCTGGGCTTGGTCCTTCCCAGCCCTGAG